CATCTCTCTCTCTCTCTCTCTCTCTCTCTCTCCCCCGCGCACACACACACACACACACACACACACACACACACACACACACACACACATTAAAACTGTTCTTTAGCCCCAAATACTGGAATATGCTGAAAATTCAATTTATATAATTTTATCTATAATTCTATAAAATATAAAAGTACAACATTTCTAAGCAGTATATGTCTACAAAGAACTTCCATTCCTCATTTATTACCACAAAGTTCAATTTAGAAGGAACAGGTTGGATAAGTGGATCTACTCTCCCTTGATGTCTAACAATGTACTTCCTTAGCACTCTCTCGGGGCATCAGTCAGTGCTGCTGCTTTTCTATGTTAGCTGGTGGACTTAGCACTTCTGCTGTGGATCAGGGCATTTATCTGACTGGTACTCAAGCTGTCTCTCCTTACCCAGTAGCCATCCAAACTGGGTCTGAGTTTGGGGGCCTTTGCTGACATAGCTTCACTGGTCTCTAGTGTGTCATTCATATTCTCCCACAGAATCAAGTCAGTGATTACTGTGACGATCCCTGGCCTCTTTCAAGAGAAATACCATCAAAGATCATCTTCTTGTTACCAAGAGTGACTAGTCACTCACAGTGTAGAACTTTCCGGTGAATGGATCTCAGAAACAGGCATCCTTTTCAAAGAAGGATTTTCAAACAAAATTCTAATGGTGCTTCCAATTAAAATCTAACACTGGTGTTTAGACTGAACTTATGATCTCATTCAACCAATGAATTACTAGTGTTTTGGAGTTGGAAAGGAATTTAAGTGCTAAAATGGATTATTCTAGAAAGAGACAATTGGATTAGAAGCCCATAGAGAGTTTACCCATGGTAAGCACAGCCCATGAACATTAGCACATAAGCATGGTTATTATCTTTTAAAATAGGCATGATCATTTACATAGGCATGGTTTTGGGATAAGGAATACTTGTCTAGAAGCTAAGTATTTTGTTCCCTAGGTCAAGGGGCATGCGACCCTTGCACATGCCATGGGAAGTTGGAGCTTTATTCATGTACACACTTTATTCTTTGGACTGTTATTTCTACCAATTCTGAAATCATCCAGAAAAACCATCCTTTTAGCACCTACTGCCTGTAGTGGATGATGCTATGACAGATATAAATAAAATAGTTTTCATTCATGGAAATATTTTTTAAAATCCTATTTTAAGTGGGCATTATATAAACCGTTTTTTTTAGCTTTTCCAACATGAGGATTTTGCTGAGATCCTTGGTCAGGCTCTTTGACATTCCTGAATTTTAACCTAACACACATACAATAAGACTTGTGCTTTATGTGGGTCATGTGGAAATGCAGGCCACCTGCCCTGGGTCTCCCTGGTCAGCTCCAGTGTGTGACTGTTGTTAGTTACTCAGCCTTCCATGTGACAGTGTTCTGTGGGCTCATGGTGCATGTCACGAAGGCTGAGTGTTCATACACAGAAAAGATGCCCTTCAGTGCAGCTTACAATTCAGTTTAGGAAAGACACACATCAATTATCAAGAATGTAACTTTTAGGTAAAGAGTATTAAAATTGAGTCTTCTGGGACGTCATCCTAACAAAGGTTTATGAGAGAATGAATTCTTAGTTGGACTGCTTGAAAATGTAGGGACAGAAGTAAGGGGAATTTCAGACTCCTGTCACTGACTCACTTTTCCAATTCGGCTTAAATGGTAAAGCACTGGGATTCAGAACATCAATACTTGGTGCAAGCTTTCTTCTGCTGTTACCTCACAGTCTTTACACAGAGCAGACAGCCATGCACAGCCGATGGACTGCTGGGGAGGTCGGCTTTCTCGAGCACCTGTGTGGGCAGCACTGTTCTTGCTGTCCGGAGACAACAGGAACAGGACGCAGGGACACTGTGCACTCATTACAGCTCCCTGCTTCCAGGTCCCTCCAGGCCTGCTCATGGCTGTGGGCTTCTCATGCTGCAAGGGAGATCACATATTTTTCTCCCCAATCCTACAGCATTGTAAGACAAAGTACCACTGTGGTTTCTTGACATTCTACTCAGCATTTATCATTCCCCTTTCTTTCTGAAAGCTCAGTGGACTTGCTTTAAGACCCTAATCATAAATGATCCATGCAGAAGCAGAGCCAGAGATCTGGCCAACTGCAAAATGACTCCAATTCCCTGGGCATGCCCTGTAACCTGATTAAATTCTGATGACTCAGTTCCTTCTTTAATATCTATTTTACTAGGCCGAAGAATCAGACTAGCTAGCTTAAGATGCTTGGAAAAAAATTAAAATTGCATTAAATCTATTAACAATTACACTGTTCAATTATCATAAATGAGACATGTGAAGATTGCAAATAGTTCATGATAGCACATAGAAAGTATTATGCAACTAAAATTCAGTAATTAAAAATCTATATATTGTAATTGCATTAGTTACAATAAATAGGAACTAGTCAGTTGGTTGAGCTCAATACTGATGCTGAAGTCCGAAATGTGATATAATTTGGCCTAGTTATCTTTCATACATACCATCTTATGTGAATAAAGACACCGTGGGGTTTTCCTCCTCTAATGCATCTGTTAATGGAATGTAACTTTGGTGCTTTACACAAAATGAGTTAAAAGCGCTCAAGTCCTAGCAACAGAGCAATGTGCGAATGACAGAGCATCTCAGGAAGGACACTGGTATTTCCACTGCCTTTCTCTCCTCTTTTTCTTTTGCTATAGAGGTAGCTACTGGGACTTGGAATTTTTCAGGAGCCCACTGAAGGCTTCTGAGCAGAGAAATAAAGTAACTGTTCACATTTGAAAGGATGTTCTGGCCACTGATGGTGGCAGGGATTAAAGAACAGAGGCAGGGAGACTGATCAAGAGGTCTTTCAAGAGTCTATTAGCACATGTTAATCCATATTTTAATCCATCTTTTATTTCACATTAATAGTTGTAAGCATGACCTTTGTCCTCTGCATATTTCAATGCCATTCTTTGCAGATTTTATGATGCTTAAGCAGCTCTGTAACAGTCTGTGCATGTTTCTTCTTGTTACTACACGTTGATATAATTTTAGCACCTTAAAAGAACGCATCTCTTGTCCTACAGAGCTGGAGTCCTGACAGAGGTGCTGTCAGTTCTGCTCTTGGAAGCTTCCAGAGAGGATGTCTGTCTTGCTCCCACAGCTTCTAGAGGCCTCCCTCGTCCTGCCTTTGCAAGCTTCCCTCTCGGCCCTCTCAACTGCTGCAGGGTTCCCCAGTTTCCTCGTGATAGCCCCATAAGGACACTGGCCTTCAGGAAGAGAGCTCTGACTTACCACCTGCAGGTTGCCATGTGTCAGATAAGGATACATTTACAGGTGCATTTTGGGGACTTCGAAGTAAATATCTCTTTTGAAAGAATATTCAGTAACAAAGCAAAGAAGGCAAGAACATAAAACAAAAGGAAAAATAACACCATCCTCTGCAAAAAACAGAACCCAACAGAATTACTAGGTTGGTTGTTTTAACTCCATTATATAGAGGTTGAATTTAAACTTGGCAAATGTTAATTCTTAATCATTTTAGAGTATGTATACTGTATAATTACATTTATATCATATATTTAATTTCAATACAATGCATTTATAGTGAAGTATCTGAAGGGACTCTGGCCAGCTCAAGTGTGGCAAGCACAGCTCTGGCAGGCCTTGCTCTTCTCCCATTCCCTCTGCCTTGCTAAAAATCATTACATGACATCATCACATCCTTAAAGCTAGCTACCAAGGTCTATTCTCTTATCTGGCCACCTTCTCCTCCTCGGGCTGACTACTAAGGTCCGCCTATCAAAATATTAAAGTCCAGGAATCAAAAGCCTCCTTTTGGTTCACCTAATTAACATGTCCAAACAAAATATACCACCTACATCCTAGCCAACACAGACTTCCCCTTTTCCTCCTCTTAAAAATCATGCCTATGAGGTCATTTGCTGCTGTTTTCTGCCTGAGTCAGAAGCAGCCACTATAACTTTTCTCCTCCACTTATTAAGGGATCTCTCTGTGAAAACAGGTGTTTGGGGGTGGTTTGCGCCTAATCTGGGGCCAGGGAGGAAGTCCCCACTTTTGTTGGAGGGGGTCTCCTTCAGTACATATGAATTCAAACCAAAATATTTTCACCCGTTTATTTTTATCAAAGTTATCTGGACTGCTATGGATATCACTCTGTATAAATAAAATGCTGATTGGCCAGTATCCAGGCATGAAATATAGGCGGGACAAGCAGAGAAGAGAATTCTGGGAAGTGGAAGGCTGAGTCAGAAGACGCTGCCAGCTGCTGCCATGAGTACCAACATGTGAGATACTGGTAAGCCATGAGCCATGTGGCAAGGTACAGATTTATAGACATGGGTTAATTTAAGATAGAAGAACTAGATAACAAGAAGCCTGCCACAGCCAAACAGTTTGTAAGCAATATAAGTCTCTGTGTGTTTACTTGGTTGGGTCTGAGTGGCTGCGGGACTGGCAGGTGAGAGAGATTTGTCCTGACCATAGGCCAGGCAGGACTGGAGAAAACTTCAGCTACACTGGACCATGCATGTTTCCTGAAATCACAAAAGCAGACAGTACTGGCTTTCTTATTTTAGAAAGGACATTAGAAAATGGGAGCTTTAACGTGTATGTATAAGTGGCACAATTCAGTGTGAATCTAGGGAAAGAACTTGGCACTGACTGCTCAGAAACATTGTTTTGTGGGAAGTTCTAGTGGTTTTTAAAGGGATAGTGGTAGAGACCTACCTGTTGGGGAATATATTTTAAAATGTGTTGCATTTTTTCCCACTGCTTTTGTTAACAATTCAAAGATGTGTTTGATTAAATAAAATTAACCTATGAGCAGGAAGCTGATAGGAAATGGTAGGAAGAAATCACATAGCAAGGGTTTTTAAGTGGGGGCTGAAAGAAGGACACTGGGTTTTTTGGAAGACGCCAGCAAAGGGAGAAAGTTAGCTACTTGCTACTCAACCTCTCTGAGCAAGAAGAATTCCACCTAAACTGTTGAATCATGAGTTCCTTAGATTTAGATATAGTTTCCCTTAATAGCTTTGAAAGAGTCAGTGCCTGATGAAACAAAATCCCCTCAGGCTGCAGCCTCTGTGGCCAAACTGCCTCTGACAGCAGCAGAGCTGTAATCTCTGACTAGGGTGGCGGTTGCTTAAGGGGCAACGACTGTAGATAATAAAAAACACATAACAATTGGTGCCCAATGGGTGGTAGAACCACACTGAAGGAGGGGTCAGGCCAGCCAGCTCTGTTGCACTTGCCCTCTGGACCTCTCCACAGTAGCACTCAGCTGCCACTTGCTCGAAGAAGTCAACAGAATTGGTGAGGGATTTGGGAAATCCTTTAGGAGAGTAGGAAAGAATTAAATGGAAACACAACAATGTAGGGTGCTAGGGCTCTCTATACTGCTACCTCAAGAAATCATTATTACCTTGAGCTCTTTATGGGACAGACACCAAGTCCATTTGACCATTCCTCACATGTGCAATCTTTCCAAATGATTTGTGGCTTTTATTTCAATCCTGATTTTTAAAGTCTAAGAATACATGGAACAGGGATAGGATATTTGAAAGGCATCAGTTCCGAGTGGGATGGAGTCTACAGCTGGTTGTCCCTGCCCACGGGTGAGGCAGTGCTGAGGTCAGGGAGCCACACCCCCTTTCTTCTAGCCATTACTCTCCATGCTCTCATCTGACTGCAGGCGATGCTCCTTCAGTGAACCACATGCTCCTTACATGGATTTCAGTTTTACTTGCCAGAGAAGGAGTACATCACATGACTTAGACTCATTAGAATTCATCAAGATCATACACAACTTTCTATGGTACAGTTAAAAACCTTGACAAATTCCATGCTAAGCCAGTGAGTACAACTTAGAGGATTTACAACCTAAGATCAAAAATCACATAACTCATAATTATCACCTTTTGATATAAATTTCTGAAAAAAGACAAATATTCTTCTGATCTCGACTCTTTATCTGAAAGTCATTCTGACACTGGGGGAAATGAGTCTCCATGGGTGGGGAGCCCCACAGAATAGGTTGCTCTTTTGGCTCTCTGAACAGTGACTGCTAGTTACTGTTACAGCTTCAAATTTTATGTTCAAACACCCAGACGCTTTTGATCTCTGTAGAAAGTATAACTGGAAACTTCCTGTGGCATTTCCCGATGAGAATACACATCTTTCCTGTAGTGAACAACGTTTTGCAGTTCACTGGATGGAGTATTACAGTCTATTTATTCACATATTTTCAGTCTTAGGCTTCAGAGTTAAGAAGTTACATGCCTCATCTAAAACCATGTCCTATTTTAAAGACATATGTATGTCTCTAGGTTCCACCATTGAAGAATAAAATTCTCAATTACTGGAAGAAAAAAAACTGTCTGGCTACGAGGAGCATGATGTCATGGTGTGAGGCCAGGCCTCTGACATGCATCACCCCCTGATCTAGGGTAGGTGTTACGTTCCTGTTCTAGGACAAGGCACTGTGACCCAGGAAATGTATGGAAGGAAGGGCTGATGGCTCCAGGATGGCAGAATGGAGACTTGGCGGCTGTAAGACACGGAAGCTGAGAACTTAACATTCTGAACTGCAGCAGGAAGCAGGGCGTACAAACTCAGAACAGCACATGGCTTTTAGGCCTCAAAGCCACCCCAGTGACTGCGTCCTCCAACAGGGCCACACTTCCTGAGCCTCTCTGAGCACCACCACCAACTGGGAGTCTGCTGTTTTTATCTAAGTTGTTCTATTCACCACTAAAGATGTTGGAGTTGGATATTGGGGTGAAAACCTGCCAGTTCACAGAAACCAAGAAGCAACCAGATGACCTTCCTTTTGGGCCAGAGAACCAGCAAGGAAAGTGTCTCTCCACTTGTCCCAAACCAAAAGGACCACAAATCTCTAAGTCCCTCCAACTCCTTCCTGTGTGTCTCTCTATCTATATTCCTGGCTCTTCCTTCCTCTCTATGGTTATTCCTGTCAACTAGTCGCTGGTTTCACCCCCTGATCCAAGTTTCACAATGCAATCAAATATCCAACAACAGCAGTCAACGTCCTTATTGCCACCACCACACCTGGCTACTTGCAGTGCTGGATTGTGGGAAGGCCCTGAGCTGTGTGGCTCACATTACCTACCTGAAACCATGTAACCATGAAACCATGCCTTGGTCTAAGAGGCCTGCAGAGGAAGGCTCATGCCACACAGTGACCTTATTCTTAAGCACAAGAGTCTGCTCTAATACACATATTTTTTTTTTTTATAAAACTTTTTCAAAACAAAATGGTTTAAAAATCTTTACCTCCTCAAATATATTAACTACAAATCTGTTAAAGTACAGGTAAAATGGGAAAGCAAACCAAAAACACAAGCTATGAATATCTTATGGAAAAGGAAAACCTGAGTGTGAACGATGGGGTTAGAAGCTGTGTATCCGGCGCTTACCTGTGGAGTCCAGCCCATAAAGCAAGGGAGGACGGCCGACACGCTGGGGGAGTCGTGCTGGTTTTCTGAAAGGCGATTGCCATCAAAGCTGCATCCTTCCAGCAACAAACCACTGATCTGCCACAGAAAAGCGGAAAGTGGTAAATAAATATTAAATTCCGAAATGCCGGTACACACAGTTGGATCTTAAGATCGAGGCCTAGTGTCCCAGATGCTCTGAAAACAGATTAGGGTCTTTTGTTTGGAGAACACAGAATATCTGAATCAGTGTTCATTGTAAACTCTCTTTAGACAGAGTTCTTACTTTTTAGCTAGAATTCTAGGAAAAACTCACAAATGCCATAGACTATATAACTTCAAGTGCCTTGGCATTAGGTTAATAGAAATATAAAGACATAAGCCAAATTAACTCTTTTCCAGGAAGTGGGGGAGGGAAGTGTAACCAGAGAACGAACAGCTGGTTCCTCATGTCTTCTAACACTTTTCATTTATCCTGCTGTGTGGAGGTGAGAGGGTAAAGGAGAAGGTCTTACAGTCTAAGGTAGCTTTAGTGTAAGCCAAAGATACCTGAAATAAAAACATGGCTTTTGGAGTCATGTTAGCTATAGTTTCTTGGTGGCCATTTTATCTATTTCTCCAGTGTTAATTGCCCTAGCATATGGCAGCAGGTCGAGGAGTAGCTTATATTCATACCTTCTCAATAGTCTGCCCTTACAGTCTTGTCTGTTTTCTCATGATATATGCATGATACTAACCACATTCTATCTTAAACAATAGCTTCAAGTTTTAGCCTGACTTGAGAGGATTGAACTTCAAATTCTTTACAATAGTGCAACCGTGATAAACATTCAGTTGAAAGCACATACTAAATTTGGATCTTTACAGCCTAGCATATGTGGTAGGGTCCTCTCCTTTATGGTGGGCACTGATGGCAGCAGTGAGCTGAGCTGCTAACTGTTAGGCTCATCCTTGATGGTATGAGGTGGTGTGTCACTGTGCTTGAGGTCTTCACTTCCACGACAACGGAAGATGGAGGTCACCCTTCTTCTGTTTACTGGCTACTTGTGTATCTTTTTTGGAAAATGTTTATTTAGGTGTTTGTCCATGTTTCATTTCCTTGTCTTTAAAATGTGGGAAGAATATCTACCTGAAATGACTGCTGTGAACGTTGTTGTTTACCAAGAAGCGGAGTGTTACCAATAAAATCTCCCCTTACACTAGCTGCAACCGGAGCTCGACAGACTGACCCCAAATATTACCCTATCGCTGAAAAATTGCTATGGATAATATAGCAGTTCTCCAGACAAATGGTCCAACTTCCAGCCAGACCTGGACTGGGACAATGAGCCCATCTCCACAGGACAAAGACTTACTCCTATGAAGTATCAAAGCAGAATTTCTACAACCTCAGGAAAAGCACAAGGAAGAGGCTGTATCAAATCTGGGTTGTTTTTGCCTAAAAAATGTCCAAAAAAATGTCCTTCCAAGGGAAGGTAGGAATAATAGCAGACTCTAGGATGCCAACCTGACATGGAAATCAAGTATGTATGAAACTGTCCGACACAGAGGAAATGCTCAGTAAGTTTTAGCCAATGTTACTAATCTGGGAATGCAAAATTATATAAACAATCAACTGAAGTGAGACAAACTGAAAGTTTAAGCAGAACTTATTTGGATAATTCTAATCAGAGGACTTTACAACACTTTCTAGATAACTGAATCCATTCTATTATCTCATTCACGTATGAAGGAAATAAGAGATGTTGAAGCACTTTATTGAGCCCATTACACAGCCCCCAAGTATGACTTACATGTCTGTACACACTTAGGTGTTAGTTTATGTTTATGGATGCAATTAGCAATTACATAATTTATTTAGTTTGCTTTCGACCTGAATACAAAAAGGCAATGTGCTGTACACCATACTATTGTGCAAACTATTTCAGCACTGATTTGAAGGTGTTTTGTTCTGTTCTTTTGTCTATTTCTGCTGATGACTTTCAAGTAATTTCTAACTATTCCCTTACAGCTTTTATTATTTTTCTCTTTGGAAATCCTAAATATATTTTCTTGTAATTTTATTTCTAGACGTCAACCTTTTTCTGCTTTCAGAATCAATGTATTAATTTTTTTGTATCTGGAAAATATTTTTTATTTTTTTTCACTTTAGTATATATTTGTTGCAAATGATTTTGATTTTACACATAATAACTATAAGTAGATATGCTATATGATGGGATATTGGATACATTCATGTATTCTGTAATTATTAAATCAGAAAATTATCGTATCTGCCACTTCAAATACATATTGTTTCTTCATAGCAAAAGTAGTTATGTTTTTGTTTAACAGTTTTTTAAAAATATACATGACATTATTACCAACATCCACCACACTGTGTAATAGAACCTTACAGTTTGCTTTTCTTTTATAGTAGTAGTAACTTTAAATGTAGTCCTTTTGATTGCTTGCTTATGAATGTACTGAAACATCAAAATAAATTATTTTGAGTTCCTAGGGAATCTTATAAGTTAATTTGAATTAATTTGTATGATTAATCTATTGTTCTTACTAAGTGAAACCATAAGCTGGTGACTGATTGTGAAAACACAGCAAAGAATTTAATTTAGGGTACTCTATCCCTGGTGTTGCTTTCTATATCCAGTTATTTTGATTTGATTAAAAGCTTTACAAATATAACCCTAGGAAATAAACAACAAAGATGCAGAACAACAAATTTCCTATGTAACGTTTTTAAAGAATGAAGTAATGAAGATATATTTGCTCTGTAAGAATGTATTGTGAATATGTGCAATGTATTAATGTATCAATGTATTAATTTTATCAGCATGTCCAATCTGTGGCCAAGGATGTAGTCCAACACCAAATCACAAACTTACTTAAAATATATTTTTTTAATATTCTGCTATTTGATCTTGGGATGAAGTTTGTAGGTGACAATGTTGTGCACTGTGTTTCTCTTCAGGAACAGGTCTGTTTTGGATATGGGATATTATTTCGCTGTATTTCATCAGTCTGTCTTTCCTTACAGCAATAGCCTACTATATCAGTTGCCACAACTTAATAACAATGATGCTCCCACTATGGGCAGATTTCTTCTCTAACACTTCAACTTAGGTTCATCCTGTTATCTGCTTTGATCTGTCACTGGTAATAAGACTTTCAAAGGTGGATTTTAAACAGGATTTTTTTCCTCTTGGAATGCCATGCCGAGACTGAAGTGATTTAGGGCACAGCCAGCAGGAGCTGCAGAGATGAATCAGGCGAGCACTAACCTTCATGGGGGCTGCCCTAGCTGGAGCTGCCCTTTCACTCCAGCACTTCATTATCTCTGCACAGTCATGATTTTTACATAACACAGACTGGATTTTGCTTTCTCAAAATACAGTAAGTATAATTAAAGTTTTATATTACATCATATAAATCTCATTGTAAGGTCTTTCATGTTAAATATTATATAATTAGACTGTAATCTATGGTTGAGCTCCATTGATCTTGCATTATAAGAATAGGTGCCTGTGAGTTAGAAATATACAGTGATGCATTTTCAAGTTAAACATCCCATATTAGTACCTTAATCTGCAGCTTTGCTTCTTGAAGTCGGCCTTTCCAGGATGCTACAAATTTAAGACTATCCACAGAGCAGCCCATTGCCCTGTAAAAGTAGAGCAGATTCAAATGTCTTGAGAAATAACTCTTCAATGTGCATGTAGAGGTCTATCAATAGAGCGTGTGTGCAGCAAACATAAGGCTGGGGTGGGGGTGGGGATTCAATCCCTAGAACCAAACCCCAAACACACAAAACAGTGTCCTTAGAGATAAAGTTAACAATATAGCTATTTTCAATGACTTGTTTTAAATCCAAATACAATGTTCAAGAAAGAGCTACCAAATTAAGTGTAGTACCTAAGGTTTTAACATTTTGCTTAAATGTCAATCTTCCTTTGAGATTATAAGTTTTTTAGGTAAAGGGCCTTTGACATGGTTTTACATTCTCCATTTTGATCATGGCCCTCAAATCTTAGCAAATAAAAGTTATTAAATTTTTATTGAATGAACAAAGTATCCTGAGTAAAGATAAATACCAGTCCCCAGGACTGAACTTCTACCTCTTCCTCAGAATATTCTAGCGATCCTCTTTCTTTATGCTCTATCTTGTTACAAACAGGATCTATATATCCAGTAAGCTGCCACAGAGACCAGCTTGACCTTAACCGTAGCTCTTTTCACCATGAAAGTTATCCAGAGCAGCTTCCTAAAAGATCCTGCAAAATCATGTTTTCATGTAGTCTAAGGTGGCAACCACCTGTGGTCACTGAACACTGTGAGCTTGGTCAATAGGCCCAAGAAAGTAAACCCTTCAGTCTATAGTTTATGTTTAAATAGACCATTGGCTACTATTTTGGACAGTGCAAGTCTGGATAAAAAAAAAATGACCAAACTTAAGAATTTAATATTTTTCCAATTCTATAAAGCAATGATACTGAAATTAGAAGTTGACTGTTATTAAAGGCAAGCTGTTAGGGGGAATAATAAACTTACATAGGTCTCAAAAATAAATTTACTCTTGACAATCAGGACAATGTGACTAGAGGTGAATAAGTAAAACATAATCACCCTCAGGGAAAATAAGGTATTCATTCTACCTTGCAGTTTCCTGGCGAAGAGCATTAAGGAATGTGTCTGGATGGAAGAGTTCAGATAGGTCAAGTGTATCAGAGAGAAGAGCTTGCTTTTCAGCTTTATCGACCCAGTTCTAGAGGAAGAAGGGAAAATAAATATGTAAGTGTATAGTTACACATAAGCCATTTTTAACAAGAGTGTTATATAGTCATTTTCCAATTGCTCTGAAATAGTGTCTAGAAAAAACCGAGACTCTGACTCTGCCTTGCAGAAGCCTGAAGCAGTGATCTGGCATCTCTGCCCACCATGAGCAAGCCTCCTGGTGCAGCCTTTCTACTGTAAAATCTGTTCACGATGAAACTTAAAAAGGGACATTTCAAGTTATGTAGAACAGTTGGAGTTGGGCCCCCATCAGCAAGTAGGGATGCATGTTCAGTGTACACTGGACACACAGGTGCAGATCCTGAATCCTGAGCACCCCCTTCTCGGCAGCACACTGGCCAAGGGCTGAGAAGAATGAGTCTCTGTCAAGGGGCTGCGATGTAGTCTTCTCCTGCCTGCTGTGCCAGGCCAGTTCCACCTGCAGTCACGTGCGCCAACATACAGTATGTTGGGAAAGTGTGGTGATATTTTATCTGTGTACCCCAATAAAGCTTATCTGGGGACCAGAGGAAAAAGGCAGCCACTGTATTAAAAATAGAGGTCAGGTAATGGTAGCACATGCCTTTTAATCCTATCACTCGGTAGGCAGGAATCTGTCTGGATCTCTGTGAGTTAAAGGCCATACTGGGAACAGAGCCAAGCATGGTGGTACATACCTTTAATGCCAGCACTAACCATAAAGGTCTGGAGGTCTGTACAGACAGACGGGAAGTGACAGAGCTGGGCAGGAAGAGGAAGTGATGTAGCTGGCCGGAGAGAGGAAATGAGATGGCAGAACAGAAAGGCATATAGGCGTGGGTATACACGAAGCAGCTCTCTTTAGCAGAGCACCTCCAAGTGGTAAGAATGCGGCTGGCTTCTTCCTGCTTTTCTGATCTCTCGGTTTTAACCCCAATATCTGGCTCTGGGTTTTTTATTAGTAAGACCGTTTAGCAATTTGTCTTACAGATAAGAATTTAAAAGCCACCACTTGGACCAAATGCAACAGCAGTCTTGTACAACAGCAGGCTGACATTAACCAACTGTGCATACCACCATGCTGCAAGTTAGACCTTTGCTTTAAGGTACAAAGAATGAGGTCAAAGTTCTTACCCCAGGTTATATACAGCAGCTGTTAAAACCAAGACATAAACCAGATAGTTAAGTGACTGGTTTCTGCGAAGATTTCCTGCAGGTCCAATACTAAAAGGTGGCTTCCTGGTACTCTCAGGAGCACTCTATCATTTCAGCGGGCGCACAAAGAGAACACAGGAAATGGCAACCACTGACCAGTCAAAGATAGTCATTTGCTGAGTAATTTGTCTTACATGGTTTATAAACAGCCCAAGAAAACCATCAGCGCTCCATTAACAGAAAGCCCACTTCATGCCTTTGTAGCTCAGCCAGCATGAGACCATTGCGTTAATATTATTAGAACAATCAGACTCTTCAGTCTCCACCTTTCTGTAGTTGTCTCCACGGACTTGGCCAGTACTAAGTACGGTAGAGACAAAGATGTCTCTACATCCTTGTAGTAGACATGTGTTGATTTTTAATAAGAGATTTAAAAAGAGATTCTTACAATTGTGAATCTCCCTCTCAGATACTATGCTGTACAATAATGCTGCACAGAATTTATCTAATTTGCCTTTCATTATTAGCTAAACATTCAAGAAGTTACTCTTTTAAATGAAACACTTAACATAAATATTTACAATTATACTATTAATATTTTAAAATCAATTTTGAATTCTAATACCCTAGAGGGTTATTGCCAGAAGTGGATTTATATGTGCTCAAACTAATTAACAACTACAGAGTAGCTGATAATCAGATTTTACTTCATTAAAGTTCAGATTAAGATAATTAGTCAAGGAGGAAAAGTTTCCTTGGTAAAACTGTTATTAGTCCATGAGAAAATAAAAATGTGTTAGTCTACTAAGCTTCGAGCTAGAGGGGCTAAGATGCAGTCCGACAGCTGAGGCTTACGTAGGAAGCCTCTTTTAATGGTAGGAGTAACTGATTAGCAACCTCACAGCGAGGGAAGAACTGTTTTCCACATTTAAACCATACTTACACTGACTTATGAGCATGCAAATGAAGAATTAGGGACCAGTGTTTTTAGTAAGAAATGTGTACAGACAAACTGCAGTGAGCAGAATCACACACAACAACCCTTAGTCAACGACTCTCCTTTACTCAGGTCATGGTGATGGCCACTGACGGGTGGGTTTCAGATTTATCTAGTCTCACCTACGATTATTAGTGTTCACAGCTATAATTTTTAATGATGTGTAACTAAAAGAGTTACAGAGATAGGTGAATGAACATCTAACAGCATCGCCTGACAAATGGGCCAATTTCTTAAACATCACACAAGCATATAACCTCAGAATAGCAGGCAGGCCCAACTCTTGGCTTAGGCCACAATGAATCCTGGAGATGGTCAGGCATTGTTTCTTACTATACCATAAATGAAATAACTTTCCAAAGTGAATATGGAAAGATTTCAAAAGAGTGCAATGTCAGAATACGATCCAAGAATGGCGTCGTGTGAAGGGAATTCTGAGTGCTTGTGAGAAAACTCCAAGAAAACAAGAGTCCTGTGACCTCAGCTTCTTCAAAAACACAGACCTGTTCTTGAGATGGACTTTCACGCCCCTTCCAGGTGTAGGAGAAAAGAGTGAGTTTACTCCAGATTATTCATTACCACTGCATATTTGTTTATATGCCTCTATGAAAAGACATGCTTTTTGCGGCATGTGCTTGCCCTGGTGAGTGTACATTTTACTCTTGTGACTCTTCTTAACCCTCTGATGCTCTGAACAAAGTTGGCAATTGCATGAGACTTCAGTCTGCCTCGTTTTTAGGCTCTACTCTCCCAGATCAACTGTCAACTAGAGCAGTCAGCACTGCAGTACTGAGTGTAGGGTACAGTGAGCACTGCAGTACTGAGTGTAGGATACAACGAGCACTGCAGTACTGAGTATAGGATACAGCGAGCACTGCAGTACTGAGTATAGGATACAGCGAGCACTGCAGTACTGAGTGTAGGACACTGAGTGCTAGCTGTAAGATGGGTTTAGAAGTATGAGACGGGGAAATGAGATACCACCAATAATGGACAAAAGGTAGAAAGGAGAAAATTACATTAAAAAGTAGAATCTTATCCAAGCTCTATTTCTTTATGAATTCTATATGTAGAATTGAATAATAAGCTGTTTCCTCATGAACATAGCTAAGGAATAGTTCAGCTGCAATACAACCAAATATCATTTTTATGCAGGCTAACACACTACACCTGTGTATCTTTGTCAAATCGTGCAGAAATTCTGTGCAACTCTTCTATATATTAAAATGAGGCCATAAGGCATAGGAAAATCTGAATACTTGGGTGTTCAAAATTAAAGGCACACAGCCAGCTCCCCACCAGGCCTTTCTAGCGGCCACATGCAGCCTGAAGCCCCAGGAAAGTATCTGATTGCTCTTCTCAGTTCCGGCTATGTTCCGCTGGCCAGCGACCACCCCCTCATCAGTCTCGCTCCCCAACGCTGAGACTCTCCAGCCACCACACGGAGCCTGCGGCCTAGAGCTGCATAGAGAAGAATGAAATCACCCTGCAGAAAACTCAACTCCAAATGGATCAAAGACCTCAACCGAAGACAAGAATCCCTAAATCTGACAGAGAGGAAAGCAAGGAACATAAAGGCACAGGAAAGGACTTTCTGAACGGGACCCCAAAAGCACAGGCATCAAGACCAAAAGTAAGCGGGACCTCGTAAAACAGCCAAGCTCTACAAAGCAAACGGCACCAATATTTGGGTGAAGAGGTAGAATATACCTGATAGAGGGTCAGCATCTAGAACATACATAAACTCAAAAACCGAAACCAGGAAAACAACCAACCCAAAACAGGACACGGAATTAAACGACGGATAAAATATAAGCAGGAGGCGCCTTCTTCCAGCAGTCAGGTCACAGCTCTGACAGGGCTTCAAGCGCTCGGAGGTGCTGTCTGTACAACCCAGATGCACAACTGCAGATCTTCTCCACGTTATCAATGGTTAAAAACAAAATCGTGAATAGACAGCAGACATTTTGAAGAGTGTGGTACAAACATTTCAGATGACATGAAAATGAGTTTGTGCTTTATGTAAAGTCCTGTCATTTTCACTACCAAGGTTATTTCAGTACGTTAAGTCTAGGACCGTAGTCGGAGACACACACTCAGCTGCTAAGCAGTCCATTCTCACCTGAATTGCCAGGGCACGGGCTACAAGACCTCTCAGGTACTGGAGGGGGTCCTCGGGGCCTTCCCACTTGCTCTGCCACATGAGAGGACACTGCAGTGAGAAAGAGCACAAGTCAGCTTACATGGGTGACAGCTGGATAGACTTTCAACATGAGCGTAGAGAACAGAATGTCTGAAGCTAAAACGGGATTCATTAGTTGTAAAGCCTCTTAAAGGAATGAACACATCTAATACCCACTGGGAAACCAGTCAACAACATGTTCTTGGAGTGGTATTTGGCATGGTATGAAATCAAAATAAAATTTTAAAATTCATTTTAAAATTGCTAAAGATAAAAAGAATTTTTTTCAAGCTATGCATAAAGAGCACACATGAATTTACCTACATGGGCAGACATGCAAGGAAAAGGTAACTCAAGTGTGTGCCCTAAATGAAAACCAGTAAGTAAAATAGCAGAACAGCTCTTTTACAAAACCTGTCTCTCTAATAGCTGGCCACTGCTACTCTTAACTAATATACACTTCTGTGCTTTAGAAGTGCTCAGCAAGTACATATGTACTATAACACACTTCTGTGCTGGTTTTCTGGAGTTTCAATAATAACTATCAATGAATTTTGTATTATTTTAAGTATAGTAACAGCACAATAATTTTATGCCCCATTCACCCTCTGACCATGTAAGTGATAAAATACTACAGGCTATAATGTCAATAATGTATAGAAAACTAGAAACATTAATATCCAAACATAAGAGTAGAAAGGGAACTTAGAAGAAGACATCAAACACGTTAGAGGCATCTAGCCATTCTTAGAAATAAGTGCCAGAGTCATGACTAAAACAGATGTCGGTTTAAAACATAAGTTTAAATAAACAACTTGAAAATGTAACTCAAGGAATGAGAACACAAACCAACTCCCAAACAAGGAGAAATGAAATAACAAACACCACAGTAGAAATAAGTAAAACAGAATAAAAAATATTAATTATCAACAAACCAACAGCCAATATTTTGAAAAGCAAACTAATAAACGTTTCATTAGCTTAACCAACAAAAGACAAAGTCAGAGATGACAGATAAAGGAGACCACTGATACTACAAAAACTGAAAAATCATTCGAGACTGTTAATGTGTACAAGTATGTGCCAACCAACAAACAAAAAAGTCCTAGAAAAAAACAGCTCCTTTCTTGGCTTCTAAACCTGGAGCTAGTGAGATGTTTTTGTGGGTGAAGGCACTTGCTAGGCCTGAGGATCTGGGTCCCACATACTGGAAGCAAAGAATCTACTTCTGCAGGTGACCTCTGACCTCCATACAGACATGTGATCATACACATAAAATAAATATAATAAAACTTCTCAAGATTAAATGATGACAGAAAACATTAACAAACCAGAAACAAGGCTCAATTGATAGCAGCAGCAGTAGTAGT